GTGGTGGGATTCAAAATTTTTTACTACCAGTTCTGTGGGCATGGCTTGGTGGGCATGGCTTGGTGAGCATGACAGGGGAAGGATACTGTAAAATCTCCATTCCCACCCCACTCCAGGGGAAGGATAATGTAAAATTTCCATTCCCTCTCCCCTCCAGGGGAAGGGTACTGCAAAATCCCCATTTCCTCCCGATCAGCTGGGACTTGGGAGGCAGAGAATAGATAGGGATGGGGCCAGTCAGACGTGGTATTTACCGGTTCTCCAAACTACTCAAAATTTCCGCTACTGGTCAGAACCTGCTGAATACTACCTCTGTATACAGTAGAATGTCAGCAATCCTGTTACTTCCGACCATGTTCAGTGTTGGAAAGAACTGCTGATTGGCACATACTTTGATTTTTCCAACTTCAATCTAACCAGCAGCAAGATGGCATCTTCTGGTTTAATTTACAGTCAGCTAAGTCCATTCATTATCCTTTCCTCTTACCGGTATATACAAACCACATAGATCCACGCTGTTTGTATGTGTTCAGCATTATAAATGAACTATTTGGGACTTCTGGGAAAGAACTAGGGAACTGAAAACAGTTCTGCAAAAAGCAGAGTTGACGACTGCAGTGAAATGAAGAGTGGTTGAGTAGGCCAACTCTTCCTAACTCCTCTCAAGGACAAGGAGATGATTTGAGATCACCCACAAGTGTTCCAGAAAGTTGCGCTTCACAAGGAGACCAAAGACAGCAATTTCTGGTAGATTTAGAGCTTTGGTAGACAAGGGAATGGGTTTCCTTCAATCCTTAGTAAAAGAAATTTTAAATACAAGTTTAAAGATTTTTTTAAAAGAGGAGGGGGTAAACAGCAAAAGGGTGATTAGAACTTTCATTTTGGAAAGTTACAATGAGTCCAGATGGATTGAAATAAGACTTTGGAATTAATTATAATAATCCTTCCCATGGAAAAATGCTTTTCTTTTGAACAGGATAGAATGGGAGTTTGAAGGTTGCACACAAGTGGGAACTAGAAGGAACTAAACTTTACAATTAAATAAGAACACTTAAATTTCTTGGAACAAGAGGGAAGTTGTTTCTTTATATATTCCTTTTTTTTGTTCTTTAGTATATTTTTTTTCTTTTTTCTGTTCCTTTTTCCTTTTTTAGTTTGTATTAGTTTTTTTTTCAATGTTAACAATAACTTTTAATAAACATATTATTAAAAAAATAATTGAACCAGTCAACTAATGTGTTGGAGTAAACTAAAGGCTTTTCCTCACTGCAGTCTTTGCTGCTTGTGTCCCATGCATAAACTGGCTGGAAATGAATATGCCTGAAGAAATCTTTTTCTAATTTTTAATGCCTTCGTCCACTTTGGCTTCAGCAATGGCCTGATAGTTTGGTCCCATAACTCTTGATTGATAGCTTTCTTGCTTCTTCCTCCACTACACTCTTGCCAGAAAAGCAAATGCCAATTATTTTCCCTTTTGTAAGCATGTTTTTGAGCACTGGTGGCGAGGAAAATAAAGTATATCAATTTTATAGTTCTTCCAGTCACTTGAGCTCCAAGGCACTTGGCAGAACTCTTGTCAAGCTCATGCATTTTTTAAAAAAACAAAAAAGTGGACAGCATTACACCATCTTCCACTGAACTTAAAATCAAGCAGACAAAACACCAGAGTTTTACAGTTCTTCCACAAGGGAAAACCTGGGCAGAACACTTGTCAATGTCTCCCAATTAAAATAAAAGAAAAAACAAAGCAAAGGGCCAGCATTTCACGCTTTCCCTCATTAAATGTTTTGAAAAAACAAACCAAAACAAATAAATGGCCAATATGATTACATCTGAGCACCCACTTTCAATGCTTCCTTCCTATCTCCAGCCTTTCATGGTAGCAGCTCAATGTGAAACAGCCATCAAAAGCAGAGAATGGGAACCTGAGGGTCTTTACTCATCGGAGCACATACTTGCCAAATGAAATAGAGGAAGATGTGGAAGATGGAATCAAAGCACAGCAGGCAGACCATCGTTTTTACTTAATTATAAATTTCACCGGTTTGATTCTGAATCCGTTTGGGCTTTCATCTAAGGTTGAGCAACCATATTCTATGTCCGTTGAACAGAATGAAGGCAAAGATTTTGCACTGCTAGTAGAAAGGAATTATATCAAGAGGCCACCCGAATCCTGGCAATTCCAGAAAGCTTAGCAGTCCTATTCTTGGTACAAGACCTCAAGCACATATTTCTGCAGTAACCTTGGATTTGCTGTAACTCCTTTATTCCCTTCTTTCCACTTAAAATCTGTTTGCAAAAGCAACAAGGTGAAGTGTTTTCCTCTCTTCCCCTCCCTTTCATTTGGCTTGCTGTCTGCCCTGGGTTATTTGATTTCGAAATATTGTATTTTAATACAGATTAAACAGAACTTTTCAATATTAAAGAATACTGAAATATTGTTTTATTTAATGTATAGATTTCCTATTAGAGGAGTACAAGCTGAATTCCAAGGATTACATGTGCCCCCCCTCCCAAAAAATAACTTGGCTGGGATCCTCAGAAATCTTCAGAAGTCGAAAAATCAGCTAAATGTTGGAAGTGTCATCAACTACCAGGATCATATTATCATATGTGGTGGACATGTCCGGAAGCTAAAAACTATTGGATTAAATTTAAGACTTGGTTGGAGGAAATGATACATCAATGTATCAAATTTAAACCAGAGCTGTTCCTATTGGGTATCCTACCTGAAAAAATTAGCAAGGAAAAAGTTTATTTGATAATACATGTAATAACAGCTGCAAGGATTGTTTATGCACAAAATTGGAAAGCGGAGAAAATACCTTTGGAAGAAGAAGTAATAAAAAAATCTTAGACTGTGCAGAAATGAATAGATTAACTCTGATGATTAAAGATAGAGAAGACTCAGAATATTTTAAAATATGGAATGATTTTTATTATTGGTTGGAGAAGAGATATAAATGGTTAATTATATAAGTATGTAAAAATATGTGATGAGTTGAATATTATGTTAGTGATGAATTGATATTGTGGACTGGATAAGGATCAAGATAGAAGTAATGACAACTATACAGAAGAAGAAAAAACTTTGGAAGATAGCACCGAGATGTCACAGGGAAGAGAAACCTGATGTATTAAATGTTTGTTTGTCTAAAAAATAAAAAACTTTAAAAAAAAAAGAAATCTTCAGAAATCATTACTGATATAATTTTTAATGTGAAGAACAGGGAAGTGCTCAAGTACATGACATGAAGATTAATGATATTTAATTGTGTTTGCATATAAATGTAAATGAAATCAAATTAAATATTTAACTCACCCCATTCATTATATATGAAAGATATGCTTCATATACCACTCAAAGGTGAAGTGGGACCTTCACCAGGAAAAGCCATGAACTCCCCTTTATGCCTATTCTGGATTTCTATTTTAAGCTTTAATGATGAAAGAAAACTAGATATACTTGCTAATTTTATCAGTAATTCTGATTTTATTTCTATTCTACAGCATTCCCATCCTGCTGGACCAGATCAGATGAGTAGAAACAATAAGACAGTCTCTCAAATAACCCAAGCCATGAAGGGCTTTCAAGGTGACAATCAGCACTTTAAATTGCACTCAGAAGCACATTGACAACCGATGCAGCTGAAGGAGTAGTGTTTTACATAAGCCAAGTAACTGACATCATCTATTATTCTTGTGGCTACATTTTGCATCAGTTGAAGCTTCTGAATGTTCTCCAAGGACAGCCCCATGTAGAACCTGTAGCAGTAATTCAGATGGGAGGTGAATGAAAGTGAGCCAGGCCTCCTGGTCCAGGAATGAGCACAATTGGCATACAACCCAAAGTTATGTAAAGGCTCTCTTAGCCATGGCTGCCACCTGCTCTTCTGGCAGGAATCATGAGTCCAAGATGAATTGGATTGTACACCAGTTCTTCCTGAGGCAATGTCACCCCATTCAGAGCCAAAGGTGGAAAACTGTCAGCACTGGGAGATCCAAACACCAAAAGCCACTCAGTTTTGTTTAGGTTGAGCTGCAGCCTGTTGCACCCCATCCATCCCCTCAGGCTTACAGCCACTGTGACACGACATCCACATCATAACTCAGGCAGCCCGGGATAGAGATGTAAAACTGGCTATCATCCAAATATTGGTGTTACCTCACCTAAACTATGAAGAGACCTCATCCAGTGACATCCTGTAGATGTTAAATAGGAGAGAAGAGAAAACTGAGTCCTGAAGCAGCATCCTAATATTTTTAAAAAGGTGGTAAGTCACTGCCTTCAAATTATAGACCTATCATTTTACCAATATTGTGGCAAAAATGTATGCTAGATTCCTGATAGCCAAACTGAAGACTTAGAAAGTCAAAGTGTAGGTTTTCTGAAAGAACATGCTGAGTTTAGGAAAGGTTATCCCATGATTGATAATGGATTTGTTTTAGATCATTCAGTATGTAAATATACAAATGATGAAATATATAAACTTCGAAAAAGGCAGAGTGTATGCTATAGTCACTGACCTGAAGGCAGCTTTTCAGTTCTGTTAATCAAGATTTGCTATGGAAAAGGTTAGGTAATAAGAATTTGGAATAAAATCAGATCTGAGCATTAAATACAAATACTTCATTAAAGGTTAAACTGGTTCTAGCTTAATTTTATCTGAACCCATAAGTACATCCTGGGGAGTCACACAAGGCTATATACGGTCCTATTTTGTTCAAATTTTGCACTAATGATAGAAGCAGTTCCCCCAGCACCATTCCCAATCCCAGACAGCCTGCTCTTTTAACGTATGTAAGAAGATTTTTGTATCCCAACCCAGCTAAGATTGAAAAGGCTATTAGATAGTTTGGATAATTACTGTGCAACCAAACAGTTTTTAAATAATCATTGGTTTTGGAAAGGCACTGAGGATGAGAGATGACATATTGGCAGAAATGCCATTGAACAAGTTAAGAAATATAGATATTTAGTAACAATGTTTTCTGTCTAAGGTTTGTGATAGTAGTGTATAAAAGCAGTCAGACTAAAGGTTGAAGAGATGCTCAATGGATTAATGAAAAGTAAGTTACTTCTGTTATCAAGCTAACAGATTATAAATATTGATCTCAATTATTGTATGAATTACAAATAAAGCAACCTCAACAGTGCTCAGAAATATACTGTAAGATTAATTCTGGGACCACCCAAGTATACCTTGCTTGTTTCTCAGGACTACAAAATGATAACGATTTATCAGTCAATCTTTTACCAACTAGTTTCCAACTACTGGCTGAAACGGGATGCCTGAATGTCACCTTCCTGCCAGGAAGTTACAAGATCAATTAATTCTGAGTTTGCATAAAGACCATTAGAGTTCCATAACTCTGTTTGAAGGAAGTAGACAAATTCAGTTTGAGGAAAGAACTAATACCGGCAAGATTACATTTAATGTCTTCAGTTTTGGAAGGAAAGTAGGAATTCCATATGAGCAAAAGCCTTGTTCTTATCTGGCTCAATCAGCAGAGATTTCCCAAAATCATTTGGGAGGGATGTTGCAGACTTCAACTACATATGCATATTGATCTATGGAGCACCAGCTTCATTTTTTTTTTAATACATATCTGAAGGTTGTTAGGAGTCTGTACCTTCCTCCCAGATTTTCTACACAATTGGGAAGGACAGTCAAAATTAGTTCAGCTTAACTTTCTATTCTGGAGACAGAGCAAAATAGTCCACAGCTACTATAACTGGCACAGGTTTAACCATTACTCTCCGTTGCATAGTTGATTTTTTTAGAGGTTTATGGCAGTTCAATACTAATGCACAAATCTGTTGTTTCCTACATACAGTAACTAGGCTACCTTTATTACATTATAATGATTTTGGAAATGTAGAATCTGGGGATTTATACACAGTCAGGCTAAAGGGTATCTTAATGTTATAATTGAATTTTGCATCTGTGATAGCCTATTGATCTCTTTATTCTTCTATTCTGATTTGTATGACCTATGGTCAAATCAATGTGTGTGACTTTTTAGAAACACCTTTTTGCTTCCAGACATTTGAATAACATGTTAATCAGTACTTGTGCTTAAACCTAAACCTGAGATTCATTACCATGTCTGCATTCCCAACATATTAATAGGATTACACCAAGTTTCTGTAGACATAAACAGGATCATGTTATAATAAAAGCAACAACAATATCATTATAGGAATAATCACTGAGAAATCGGTGTAGAGCCTCCTTTTGAACCAAACTTAATTCCTAGTGATTTCACAAACAGGTCCATGTGGTTTTCTTGTCAACAAAACAAAATTATTTTGCCACAGCAACCTTCTTTTGTTTGTTTCAATTATTCATCCATTGTACACTTCTGCTGTTTCCCCAAAGAAGTATTAGCCAGGTTCAATCATGCTTAGTTGATCTTGGCTGATGTCAGAAAGCTGAGTACTGCCATGTAGTTGGACGCTATAAACTAACACAACAAAGACAACTTCTCTTTCACATTGATCCTGGAATTCAGAGTAGAAGAGAGCTAATGGATCCCAAATTTAACCAAGCTCTTCAGCATTCCAACATAGGGAGCTTTGTACATATAGTTCTGAAAGACACACAATTCTCCTCTCTCGTCTCACAATCCCCATCTCCACCTCGAGATTTGGAAGAGGATTTTCCATAGAAAATTGGACGAGGAAAAATGCTGCTATACAGGTAATCACTGCACTCCAATGTGATGTATTCCCCTATCTTCTATCAACTTCTTTTTGGAGTGACTGATGGGTGATTCCTCTTAGAAGTTAGGCATGCCTTGAATCCTTTTCTTGCAGCTGAGTATGTACCATGTGCTTTTATGCTAAAATGACATAGCTGGCATGGTGTCTTCCTTTAATAGGACTCTAGAATATGGTTGAAAATAATACATTTACTCCTCTGTACATTTACTAGCATATTTTTTTCTGTTGCAAAGAAATAAAATAATTGCATAAACTAGGCATAATCTCCAGAGAAGACCCCTGAATCGACAGCACAAGACAGCTTTCTGCCAGTCCCTATTAAAACAGCCTGCTACTCACTGCTGTGCCTCAGATTCACTTGACAAGAGGCAGATCTGGGAATGCAGAAATAAAAATACTGCTCCGGTCTACAGGTTATTAAAGCTACAACTCTTCTAGGACTGCAGAGCTGTGATGGAGAGGTGTCTGCTGCATCCACACAGATGGAAACAGGAGCTTTATTGAATTAGAAAGCTGCTGTGTTCATGCTCCTACATATTCTGAAGCCCCTCTTCTCAACTAAATCCAAAGCACTGCACAGCCTGACTTTGACACATTCAATATATATTTTATACTCTTTCTGCGTTTCAACATAGATGACAACATTCCTACAGAAGGCAGAGAAGAAATAATCTCCCTGTCCCTCCCCCCTCTCTCCCCCCTCCCTCCCTCCCATAGGTAACTGTGATTCATTATTTTAACTGTAAAGGCATGAAGGAGTCATAACTCAAGGGATGTGGAGGGCAAGCTCATAAGATTTTTAGATAATTGAAATTGACCCATAATTCACCAGTAACCCTGGGGAAATTCCACTCCTGCCTAACTTTCATAATACAGAAACATAGACACAGGTTTCATATGCACCACTAATATTCAATTGTTCTTTTCAGATATGCCGTACTATAGTAAATGAGCAAATGAGAAAAATAAATACATATGAGTTAGCTGCCACAAAATGAATACTGAAGACATGGTTTTCCATAGAGAAGCGATGACTGTTGTCATTTAGTGGCGGGGATGGTCCCAGGGGAGAAACTGGGGAGAAAAGGTTAGAAAGATAGAGGCTATCAACAAGGTAGATAATAAACTTTCCCCAAACAAATTGCTTGCTTGATACTATGAAGAACATTATCTTCTGCTTTCCCTTGTGAAAATGCCTGGGTTTTTTTTTAACCTCACAGAGATGCATAAATATTTTGACCTGAAATGACCTTTTGAAGTGTTCCAAGTGGCATCCCATTGTTCTAAGAATAGAACAATGCCTTTTCTTCTGTGTATATGTATATGTATATGTATATGTATATGTATATGTATATGTATATATAATTATTCCAGTCAGGACAGTAACAGTGACCAGTCATATCTCAGCTGCTGTTGTTTAGGAGTGAAGGGGGTAATGTAGGAGTGAGTGGAGTGTTGAAAGCAAAACAGCTATTAATTACATGGCCAAACAGAAGAATTCCATTCACAGCTATATGTCGCCAAGTCTACCCATCAAGTATGATTGTTTCTTTTTTTTAAAAAAAGGATTCTTAAAGGTAGAGTTCCTGTGGCTTATGAAATCATAATTATTAATGAAGATTTGCATATGTACTGGACTGGACTTTATTTTACAGACAAATAATACAAAGCTCTCTGGGTGTGTGCTCTGCTATGAATCAAAAATTCCATGAAAACAATAGGATTGCATTTATTTGAAGTGCAGAGAAGAAGTAAATTGCAAATTGGTGAAATGATAACCCAAGACAAGGGCTTTACACACCAATGTATTCTTGTAATTGGAGCAACCAGGAAAACTTTCTCAACTTTCCCAATAGGAAAACAATGAAAGCATTTTTCCTATCAAACTGGATGAGAATAGCTGAAAAACAATCAGAAAAAAATAGAATTATATTAGTATGTGACAAATCTGTACCCAATTTGGCTAGTCATAAATGGGGTGGCAAATCTGGGGAGGAGAGGATCGTCAAAGTTTGTGGGCAGAGATGAAGTTCTAATATTCTTTTGACTGTTTTAATCTAAAGAAATCTTTATGAACTGATCATTTAAAACTCTGTTAAAACTATTTTCTGTCTCTAATTGCTTTCAGACAAGAGCGAGATGATGATGATGATGATGATGAATGATGATGATGAGAATGATCAGAAAGAAAGGAAGATAGATGATAGATAGATAGATAGATAATTTCTCTGTAGCTAAATGCTTCATAATTTTGCTTCTCACATTTTGAAAGTATCTTTCATGCTCTGCCAACCAAACCAGTTATAGATCAATTTATAGTTCTGCTTTTCAATTTATAACATCAGAAGAATGTATAGATTAATGACTGGCAGGAAAAGCACACAGAAATATTTTATAAAAGTAGTAATGTAGCTCAAATACCAGTTTTACTAACCCTTCAGGCATGCAAATAAATAATTAAATAAATCATCCACTCTCAGCTCAAAGTTTCTTTTGATGTGCATCCTTCCAAATAAATTTATGTCTAAGGGTGGCAATTTCCAATTGGGATGCTACAAAGGGGACAAAAAAAACCCTCATGGTCATGAGAAACGAGTGCAAGATTTAACCTATTCATGGACTGAGTTCAATTAGTTATTGGGCAATCAAAGGAAAGATTGGTAGAAATTACTTTCTGCTGAAATAATTACACAAATATAACTGAGAACATCATAAAGGAGAATTTAATTCAAATGGGAACATTGTTAGGAACTCTAATTATTCTGTCTTCCAGAATGTAGTACTTCATGTGTTTCTTAAAAAGGAAAGAAAAAAGCAAAAATGAAAGGGTAAAAACAATTTTCATTAGTTTTCCAATAATAATCTTAAAGAGAAATAGAAACAATACCACGTTGTTTGGGCTCATTATTGTTTAACCTTCTGGAGCTGCTAAATTCCACCATCATTGTTAGTTTTGAGAGACTCATGCAAAAACTACCAACATTCTGCAACCAGAGATTTTCCCCCTCAAAGTCTCCCCCTTTTTACAGATTGATAGGAGGAAAAAATGGGGTGGGATGACAGAAAATATCCTTAATCTTCTGAAAGATGCAGAAATTGAAAAGTTAAACCCAGGGAAAAAAATCAATATCACCTTTACTATGGTTACAAAAGGAAACAGAAAAGGATGATCTAAGCTTAGAAAGGAAATGGCAACCTCCCACCCCCGCTACTATGCCACTGAGGAATAAAAATGGCTTCCCCAGCCCTTACAGAAAAAGAAGTAAAGCAGCTTGAAATCCTTTCATGAAGCTCCAATACTCAAGTCTAGCCTAATTCCAAGCATGAAACAGAAGAAAAATCTTTCCCATCTCAGAAAGTATAGAGTCATGGCTTTTAAAAACTTTTTTTTTGCTATCTTTACATCTTGCTCTCAAAAGTCTAACAATCAATGAATTCCTCGCTGACTAAAATTGGCAAAGCTGTAAATCTGCTTTCCTCAATCTGGCATCTGCAGATATGCTGGAATAAAGATTCCGATATTCCCAACTAACTTGATGTCAAGTTGGGAAAATGACTGCATGTTATTACAAATATTTTTCAGTAATGACACATAGTCATGCCCCCATCTCCCCCCCAAAAATCACATTTTATTACATTTGCAACCTGGTTGTTTTTATTTATTTATATTCTGCTTTTATTATTTTATATAATAACTCAAGGTGGTGAACTTACATTAATTATTTGAAACAGCATCAATTTTGAATCACTCAATAATATCTTTCCACTTGTAATGGATGGAAATATGAAATATTTCATATTTTCATGGAATCTACTTATGATTTATTTTAAGTCTACAAACACGCTCATTACTTTTTATTATCAGCATCTAAAATCCCACACCTCAATTAAGCCTCCCTTCCCTTCCCTTCCCTTCCCTTCCCTTCCCTTCCCTTCCCTTCCCTTCCCTTCCCTTCCCTTCCCTTCCCTCCTTCCTTCCTTCCTTCCTTCCTTCCTTCCTGTCTCAGTTCATATTAGGTACCTAGATGATAATCAAGGCTAAACATGATGTGCTCTCAGGCTATCCAAAATGCTGTTAGAGAGCAAAGAGTTGAACAGATCCTAGAGATGTGGTGTTTTCTTTTGTTATCCCTACAGAACAATCTACAGTGTGTTATGTATTTGTCCAGTTATTGTTCTGTACAAGAAGCTCTTTTGAAGATGCTTCTGCTGTCAGCTTGTCATTTCTCATAAAAGTGTAGCTTGTTATTGAGATTGTTAAGAACTATTTCTATAATTGATCTTTTAGTAATCAGTTGTAAACCACTCTGGATCTTTGGTAGCTGTAAAATGACTTTTTAAATATATTCTTAATTTATATTTGTACATTATATATTCTTAATTTTAATCTGTGTTTTAACTTCTTTGTGTTAATTTTTGACTCATGGTGACCACCTAGACCAGGGGTGTCAAACTCCGGCCTACAGAGCACTTAGATTTGGTCCATGGGGCCGCCCTGGAAATAGCAAAGGACCAGTCTGTGGTACTTCTGCCAGAGAAAATGAAGCTCGCGAAGGCCCTGTGCAGCCCTCCCAAGCTCCGTTTTCACTGGCAGAGGGTTGCAGGAGGCCATTGAAGCTGAAAATGAAGCTCACAAGGGCCACATGCAGCTCTCTCGAGCTCCATTTTTGCTAGCAGAGAGTTGCAGGAGGCCATTGCAGCCAAAAATGAAGCTCGGGAGCCCGTTTTCACTGGCAGAGCGCTCAGGCCACCATGGGTACCCCGCCCCCGACATGAGTGACATTGAGCTGGCCATGCCCATCCTGGTCACGTCCACCATGGCCCCCCCAAGGTAAAACACAACCCTGATGCAGCTCTCAATGAAATCAAGTTTGACATCTCTGACCTAGACTGTTCCTTGCAGTTTTCTTGGCAAGATTTCAGAAGTGGTTTGCCTAGAGCTGAGAGAGAGTGTGGCTGGTCTGAGGCAGTATATTTATTTTTGAGGATAAGGATCCTCCTCCCAGGTTTGATAATTTACATTTACATTTGGAAGCATTAATCATCTTATTAGCAGGGCTGTGCAGGGCTTCAGAATTAATTCAAAAACAGGAACAGGGATCTAAATGCACCACTTCTCTGCAACTCTTAAAACATCTGTGTCTTTCCATTGCACATCCCTGTCAGGTAGCATCTGTTTCTGAATCAGAACTACATGCAGTCCCACTGAAAATTAGTTATTTGTTACTAGCTTTTAATATTGCTGATTAATTATTGAAAAGTTTGTTTGAATCCTAGCGAGCTTTGAATGAATGCAGTTTCTTCTTGCCTATGTTGCAGAGACCAAATGCTCAAATACAATTTGAAAAACTGGCTTATTTGGGCAGCAATCTTGTGACTCTTGAAGACCCAGGATTAGAGGGAAGATTCCATCCTCAAATAGGAAAATCCAGTGACAGTTGGACATTGGATGGTGATGACTGAAAGGGGAAGATGAAGACTAGATCACACTCCCAACCCAGATAGCTATCTTCGTTAGCTTGAAAGCTAGTCTAAATAAATTATTGTTCATTGTTCAAAATGGGAAGGAAATAAACATGAGAAAGAGCTCAAAGAGATAGCAAGTCTCTTCCTCCTCATTCTCATCTTGCCAGTTTAGCATTTTTGTGTTCAGCCCAGTAACATTTTGGTCTGGTGGTTAAGGCACTAGGTTAGAAAATGGGAAACCATTCTGCCTTAGCTATGAAAGCCAGCTGGGTGATTTTGGGCCAGTCTCTCTCTCTCGCAGACCAATTCACCTCACAGAGTTGTGGGTAAAATAGGAGGAGGAAGAAGTATTATATGTGTTCGTCATCTTGAGTTATTTGTAAAAACAATAAGGATTGGATATAAATAAATAAGCAAAATAAACAAGATAAACATGAAGAAAATAATAATAGTTATTATAAAATAAAATGTATAAATATGATAATATTAGCTTAAATACCATGTTTCCTCAAAGATAAGATCCTGTCTTATATTTTTTTGAACCACAAAATAAGTGCTTGGCCTTATTTTCAGGGAGGTCTTATTATTTTGGGGCGCGTGGAGCAAGACGGGACTTCTCTTTCCGTCTTACCTGATTTCCAGCTCTGTCTCCCTAACCCTAACCTAATGGATGGGACTGGCTGCGCATGTGTTTTAATATTTTGGGGGAGGGCTTATTTTGGGGGAAACAGGGTAGCAAAACTCTCTTAGAATAAATGATGACCTAAAAGCTAAGCCACAATATACAATTTCCCATCTCCACCAAGGAATGATAAAATAAAGCTTTCAACTATTTTCTGAAACTTAAAATAACTTCCCTATAATTTCCTTTCTATCAGTTTGAAACAAATGTTTCTAGACCTGAAGGGTTTTCCTTCAGATCTCAGGATAAAAAAATATTATGTAACTGAAGTCATTTTCTCTAAATAATAGGGCATCAGCTTTAAAATGGGATTAGACCATTGTGAAGAACATTATATAAAGTAAGGAAAACAATAAACCAATGCTCTTGTCTTGCTTATGGGTCTCCCAGACATGCCAGACTGATCAATATAAGAACAAATAGGTTTTAATTTTATGTATGAAAGCTATTTTTGTCATTAATTTAGGGTTACCTTATGGACAAATTGCATGGAGACCATTGACATTGGACCAGCCAAAGTTCTAAAACAGTTTTAAAAAACAATTCCACTGTAAGGCTCATTACAAGGAGGTTACCGATCATACACATATGGTGGAAAGCTTGATGCCATCTGGAGGACAGTGTAATTGACAAACAGTGTTGATGATATAAAGCATTTCAGGGAATAGCTGCTAAATCCACACTATCAAGAGCAAACACAATAGCTAAGCAGATGTTCACTTCATAGGTTAGCCCCTTTCTCCAGATAGCAAAAGTAGATTGTCATCATTATACATGTCATCCACAATAGCAAAAATAACATTAAAAAACAATGGAAACCCAAAGATACACTGAAATCAATCAAATTTTTACACCGTCAAAATGACTCTGGTTACTTCATTTCAGGTAGAACCCATTACTTTTAACTTGATACAGAAGACATTATCCTCAGTACTGTCCCTATGGGATTACCTAATAAAATGTTATTTAACTGACTTTATGAATTCTCTAGGCAAAGTGCTTTTTTCAAGGGGACAATAATGGAAAATGAATCATATTTCAGAAAGAACTGAATAGGAAAATAATAATTAGCAGATCAGTGTCAGTTCGTCAAGAACATCTCAACGGCAGGTTTGAATTTTTCTATGCATTAGGCGACAGTGATTATTAAATAGAAAATTATTCTGAAAACAGAAGACATTTGTAATGAATATGCAAAGACTACTGTAGCACCCAACTGCTATTTCATAAAAAAAAGGCTCGCGCAATAAACATCAGCAATCAAATAAAGCTAACCTCCACATTCCAGAAAAACTGTACATGGTGCTTACACAACGAGGTAAATCAGGAGGCTTGAGTCCATCCATGCGAACGACAAGTGCTGGAACACCAAAAAGTACAAGGTATTTCACATAAAAAAATAGGACCTGGGCTAGTGCAAGGCCACCTGTAAGAATGCAAGAGAAAAATGCTCTACTTTAGTATATCATCGTAATATTTACAGTCCTCTTTTTTCTAAATATGCTGCTGTGTTTTTACAAATGCACTTTATTAAAGCATATAGTATGTCTTTTTTTCTGCCTGTTTGTGCATCAGATATGCACAAACTGTACCTCAGAGTACAAGTACCAAGCTCAGAGAGCATCAAGGACCACACAGTTCAACTCTAAGCTACAAATATTCTCTTCTATAAATACTGTACCTCTTGGACAGATGCAGGATGAACCACTTAGAAGAATTTGGCGAATTCATAGTGAAACTGAAGTGGTTCACACATAGAATTTCTATAAAATGAAGATAAATGTAGGCCATTTTTACCATGCATCTTGGAAAATTACAGCCTGTTTCACAATACATTTGGCTTTTAAAATAAGGGAGCCAACTCACAGCAAACCATTAGCTTTAGGGGAAAAAAGTGAGGGAACATGAATCACATTTCTTAAGTCTGTCTAGAAGATAAAGACTTCTTCGTCTACTTTGCTGTACTTTCCAACTGAAAACTGGAAAATAAATTTCCAAATTTATTTTTTCATTTGAATAGAATGTTTGCTCAGACCCTCATTTGCCCAGTTACTGATTTTTTTCAAAACACTTTTTCTAAAATACTGGTGTCAAACTCTCTATGTCATGTTGCTGTCACATGACATTTTGTGACGTTTTTCCCATTCATGGAACTGGGCAGGGCATGGCCTGAATGTGACGCATCTTGCCCGTGAGCAGCCAGTTTGACACTGCTATTCTACAACAAGGCTGAAATTTTATTTATGGAACAATATATGATCTTAAAATCATCAATGCAAAAGTTGTAATAGGTTTTTTTTAACGATTCATTTCTACTCATCATTATGCAGTTTAACAGTTTAACAGTTTAAGAATAAAGGAGGAATAAAGGATTTCTAGATTGAAATGGTTATAAGTAAATATTGATTTTCATCTCAGTGTAAATCAAGACATGGATCTGAAAGATAAATATTTACCCTCCAAGAACTATAAATCTTCATGTGCCCTAAATATTAAGTCAATACTTCATATGTTCAGTGTTATTACAGATACTGCTTTACTTCTGCACCTAAATTTTTTTTAGCCTTTAATATTGTGCTGCTTCAAAGATATGTGACTCCGGGGGAAGGGGGGGAATGGACAGGATAAATGCTGCAATGTCTGAAAATAAGAGTCTTTAAAATACTCAGCTATGTTCCCTTTTCAGTGCATTCTCATGGGACAGGGATTGGTCTACAACATCTATCAATGTTCATGACAGCAAAAGCTTAAAAAATGGAGTTCAACAACATTTGGGGATAGCCTCTTCTATTTACATAAACTAGACTACTGTAACTCGTGTTTCTTTGCATGTCAACCATGTATATTCTACAAATTGCAATGACAGGCATGAGTGTAAGTCATTTGCATCCTTCTACAGCATTTATAATATATTGTTGATATTATTGGTAAAGGTCATGAAATTACAGATTTGTATTGTATTTGCATTGTATTCTGTTCTACCCCACTTGCCTTATCCAAAATATTGATGTATTAGTTGCACTGTTATATCCCTAACATGGAATAGGAAGTCCATAGCCTCTTTAACACAGTGCTCATCAATTTTAGGTAATATCTTTTCCATCCTCTACCAGGCCCAATATTTTCCAAGGCTTCATTTTCTAAAAGCATACAGAATACTTTCAGGCAATGGTAGCAAATACAACACTTATCTTAAGGCTGAATAATACATGAAACAGACACTATTGGATGGATATGAAATATCTTGTAATATTTCTAATGATTAGATGGGTTTTCTTTTTGAGATGCATAAACCAGACCTTTCCAAGCTGCTTGTGCTGCTTGAAATGAATGAGAATTGCTTACTTATATTAAATGTGATAATTATGGCAACATGCCCAAAACCCTTATTTAGTTTACAGACTTATTGTCTATACTCAGAAAAGCCTCAGAAATCAGATAGACAGACAGATTCCCCCCTCCTGAAAAAAACACACACTGTTGGAAGCTCCTGCCCAAAATTGCTCAGAAAACCTTGGGACCATGGTCCTTAACTCTCTTATTGCCAAATATCTTTTCAATTCTGGAGTAGAACGAAACATTCTTTGCTACTTTAGGAGGTTGCATGGATCATTATCCAAGCCATCTCTGAAGTTTCAACGTTCAGAGGAAACCCAATTGTTCATCTCCATGACAAGATAACTCAAACTCGGGCCTTTAGAGAACCTCAGAATGGAACTTAGATAGAAAACATTAACCTCTTAGTTAATGTTAGGCTCAAAGTTGACTCAGCCTTCCATCCTTTCTAAGGTAGGTAAAATGAGGACCCAGATTATGGGGGCAATAAGCTGACTTTGTATAAATATACAAAAGTATGAAGGCTATTGCTTAATGCATTGTAAGCCACCCTGAGTCTCTGGAGAAGGGCAGCATATAAATCATTTTTTTAAAAAAAAAAAACCTGTATTTTTCAGAGTATAAGATGCTCCGAAGTATAAGACACACCTAGCTTTTGGGGAGGAAAACAAGGGGAAAAAAATCTGCCTCTACCTCCCAGCAATTTACCTCCTTGCAGCAAACAGCAAACAGCCTGGTCAGCTTCAACACAGCCTGATTTAGCACAAGCAGCTGATTGGTGATTGGATTGGCCTCCCGGAATACTGCCTATCAGCTGTTCCAGGCTGCAGGGATCACCACTGTCTGTCGCTGCCCATCGCTGCTGCTGCCTTTTGCCACCTCCGTGCGCCCCATTTTTGGCCTCCATGCATTCAGTTTTTGGCCTCTGCATGCCCCATTTTCGGCCTCCACACGTCCCGTTTTTGGCCCATTTCAGGTGGTGGGGATTGCTGCTGCCGCTGCCTATCCTCTCTGCCTGGAACAGGCCAAAAACAGGATGCGCGGAGGCCGAAAATGGGGCACACAGAGGTGGCAAAAGGCAGCAGCAGCGATGGGCAGTAATGGGCGGTGGTGATCCCTACAGCCTGGAACAGCTGATAAGCAGTATTGTATTTTCAAGTACTATTCACTGATTCAGTAATCTTTCAAAAAAAAAAAATTAAATACTTTTACTTCATGTTAACATTTCCCAGAGTAACAATTCCCTAATTTGAATCAATTCATTTTCAGCATTTTACAAAAATCAAGGCTCTATTTCTATATATTCTATTTCATAAACATTGAATCATTCACAGTGTTGCATTTTCCTAAAGTCATACAGATAGTTGATTTCTTTTTTAGGATCAAGGGTTAAAGTGTAGCAGCCAGTACTAGAAGCATGAACAATGTCTTATTTTTCAGAATTATATTCTTACCAGAAAACATTAATTGTTTTTGTTAGATATGAAACATTCAGTGGAATTTACTTTACTTACTTACTTATTAGACTCATATAGCCACTCATTTTATATACAATAAATCCTGAGCAGTCACAACAGTAACCACTAAAATCATAAAAAGTACACAATAATCCTATATTGCACAAAATGAGGTGGCAACGATGTAGTCTCTAAGTAAGTTTCCTATAAAGTTACTGAAGGATAATCTACGAATAAGTTTTTGTACACTCATTTCGATTTTCCTAATATTTCTCTTCTCAAAATGGAATTCATATAATACTTTCATCTCTGCATTTCCAATTTTTGACTGTATTAGTGTCTTATACATTTTTGAAGAATATACATTTGTACTTTTATAATACATATTAAGGACACATTCAGATTTTATAAGTGATCTATTGCCTTGATTAAACCTTTTTTTTAAAAAAAAAGTCTCAATCTGCAAGTTCCTTATCCAATTAATTAATTCAGTTCTGAATATCTCTAAAAACTAATTCTTAACAGATTCTTATGTGATTCCTTGTCCTCAACATATATGGAGCAAGCTTATTAGTTAATTTACAGGTAATTTTAATATTTTCTAATTTTTCCCAGTATCTTCTTTGGTTTTCCATTATTAAAGATATTATGTATTTAACCTGAAATGTGTGAAGGTACTAATAAAAAAATAGTACTAAAGAGAGAAATGATTTTTCTGCAACCTCTTTTTCTTAACAGAATCAAATTATCTGTAACGATCAGCACAACAGCAATTACTTAGAGAAATGTCTGATAAATCACTATTATTTTTCTTAACCAGAACTTCTCCAGTTACATACAAAACATCATCAGTTGTTGACATTGGGTGGATGGATGGATAGCTGTGGCGCAGAAAATGTAAAAACTACTTTATTCAAACCAACAAATCTGTTTTATTTGTCTCATTGCTCTGTCCATGGTTATGAAGAACACAATTGCTTTGAACTGGCCCTCTGCAAAAGATTGAGACATATTGGCTTAAAATTCCCTAGGTAGAGTCCCATACCTGTGTTATTGCTTCAATGTGCAAAAAAAGGTTGAAGTGACCTTTGGCATGTTGAAAATTATTGAGAGTCTGAAAAGGCCCATCAGTTATGCTTAGGTCAGGTTGTAGTAAGCTAAACAATTCTGAAATACAGTTCAGAAGTTCTAAAAGTTTTGCGAGCAGCACAGTAAAAAATAGGAATGGGAGTTTTTGAGACTTTAGAACTCAAGATTGTGTTATTCAATTCCTCTTTCTCCGAAATGATCTCAGCACTTTGTGGATATATTTTGAAGCAGACAAGACATGGAGGCTTTATAAAACGTATAATATGCTAACTATCTTATTGTACACAAAGCCTTTAGCATAATTTGGGATACAGATGTTTTACACTATGAGAAAATGGCATTGATTTCATAAAGTGTAATTTAATTCTAAATACATTCTAGAGTTCTAAAGATGTTTCTTACTTGTGGAATAAATAACATGGTAATTTATATTCAAGATCAAAACATAGCTGTCAGATACACCATGGACATATTTATATACAGTGGCTCTTGGCTGGAACTCCTTCACAGTATTCTACTCTAGTCAATTGTTTTCAATGGTGCT